CTGTTACTCATAACAACTGTTTTGTGCGTTCGAGTCGGATTATATCTGTTGATAAGATAGGGCTGAATAATGTGGCTCGTTCTGGTCTGCTGTTAGACATGTATGAACACACTGTCTCCTAGGGGAAGAGTCTGTTGTGTGGGTGGCTCTTCCTCGCAGTGTGGAGGTTGATAACATCTCGCCCAACCAGAAAAATGTCTTTTATTCAACCGCCATCCGGATGCAAAACAGAAACTGAAAATCTCCTCTGCTCAGTCAAATCCAACTGTTTGTTTTAGTCGTTTATTTTAGTGTATTTGTGTGTTTCACAAGAAGAAGATATAAAGTATATATCTTCTTCTTAACTTAACCCCCCCGTGTTATTGTGTACAAGTGTTTATTAATCTCCCTCCTCCTATGATCTGTCTGTGTAGATATGGAACAGCACAGCGCTCCCTGCTGCCCTATGAGCCCCACCTCAGTGTGGACATCACCTCCAGTGGAGAGTCCTCCTCAGGCTTCACCAGTCAGGATAGCACCATGGAGCGCTGCAAAACAGGTACCTTCGAACAGAGTTAGCAACCAGCATTGAGCGCTCCCTCTGGTTCCCGCTTCAGACAACCACTGGTCAAAACTAACAGTAATTTATTGTATGTGTGGCTTTTTCTTCTCGCCCTGTGTTGCTGTTGTTTTTTATTTCTCCTGCGGCAGAATCAGTTGCACTTTGGGGACAAATAAATGTCCTGAACTTGAACTAAAGAGCCAGATATTTCCTTTAGGAGTTGGTAGAGACCAAAAACAGAGTTAAAAGGAGAGTGAATATTAGACATACACTCATCAGGAAACATGAAACCAAATGAATCATAATGTTGTTCTCTGTATCTGCTGTATGTGTAAGTAGGCAGCTGTTTCTTAACACATCATCTTAAAAGGTGATGATATGTGGTTAACAAGGTAATCAAACTTGTCTTTAACTGCATTCATGGTCCCTATATTGTTTCAAAGTGTGTTACACAGTGGAGTAGAGATGACAGAGTGTGATTTTGTGCTTTGGTGGGTGGGTGGAGGTCAGTGTTTAAATGTGCTATAAGTATTTAATCCTCTTTGCCAACCATGGAGGTTCAGTGTAATTTGCTTTAATCCTGTGAGTGTCTGTGTGTTTTCTGTCTAGAGCCCCTCTGGCATGTCCCAGTGTCGTCGTCTCGTGGACCGGCAGGTGGAGGGGGGCAGAGGAGAGTACCCAGACAGGATGTCCCGGGGAAAGATTCTCCAAACAGACACTCGAAGGTGAGACTCGTCATCACCCACGTCTCATCTGTTCATCCGTCACCTCCGAGTCCGTCTGAATGTTGCCCTCTTGTCCTCTGCAGGGCGAGACTCAGTACTCCAGCCACTCCAGCAGCAACACCCTGTCCAGTAACGCCTCCAGCAGCCACAGCGACGAGCGCTGGTTCGACGGAGGAGCCGGAGGAGAGCGAGGAGGCGGGGGTTGCCTCGGCGACCCGGCCGACCCCGACCCCGACCTTCTCAACAAGGGGGGATCTAACGACAGCGGCATCGATGCCTCAACCCACTACAACAGCGCTCGACACGGCAACGTGACCAACAACCAGTCCCACAAACCCATGCACAGCTTCGTGACCTACAGCGGCATGCAGGAGCTGTCCGTGGGAAGGAGCAGCGGCGGGGGGGAAGCGAGGAGACGAGAGTCTTCGCCCGTCATACCAGCGGCAGCCAATAAGAACAAAGGATATCGGACGAGGACGTTCCCGCCTCCTGGCTCCAGCGCTGATAAAATGGATGCTTTCAAACCCAGGTAAGACACCGACTCGCTGATTAGATGCATCTTTTACGGCGTGTTTTTTTATGGAGCTAATATTAAGTAACTGGACGATTTAGCTCAGATATCTTTTATTGGATGGTGCCGAGTTACATTCATAAATCTGGCAGTTTAATGCTGCTCTGCTTAATGGAGAATGTATGTACTTGGTAATAACTTCAGACGTTTGAAGAATCTGTAGTGGATGACCAAGCAGCAGTTATGTACCACCGCTAGATCATCAGGGTTTTTTAACAGGAAAACAATATAAAGATCACACCACCATGTGTATAAAATCTAAGTATTTATCTGGTATTTATGTATTTATAACATCCAACATCAGTTTACAACTCTGCTTTCTAACAGTTATCAGAATCAGAATATTTTTTTACATTTTCTTTTCCGCCCAATGGTGTGATACATGAACATCTATCTTTAAAGGATACATTAAGGATTAAAGCAGCCTAATCCTTGTGAAACATACAGATCGTCACGTGATCTCCTCTGCTGGTGGACTTGGTCACTG